CTGCCCAACTAGAAATCAAGTACAATACTCAAAGTCAATGATTTGCCCATGCGCCAACAAAGTCTTTTCTCAGCAGTTTGGATTTGTTATACCATATTGAAAATCAACCGCAATGGCAAAGTAGAGAAGGTCTTTGGGCATTCGTTGGTGGACATGCAGACTGTTTTTTTTTCGTGCATCCTAGGCGCGGAAAGCATCTGAACCATAACATCCAGGATTTGATTAGATTCATGCTCCAAACTCCGTATGTTGGAAACATTTTTGTGCAGACATCCTACCGCCCCCCCATAAATCCAAGCACCCTATACCATACTTCTGCCACCAGGCTCAACAGACGGAGGTCACGCCTCCTGTTGCTGCAGGGCGGCCAGAGGCCAGGGTCCCAGCCACAGGCCATTTTTCCCATGTATTGTTTTTGTGTTTGTGTGTGTGTGTCATTGGCGCACGCTTTTGATTTGGATCATCTCGGGATTTGATTGTTTGTATTGAAGTGACGTAGGATGTAGGACCAGTCGGCTATACAATGGCAAAATAAGGCGTCGCGACTCTACTAGTTCAGCAGATGACAGTGTCACCACGGAGGTTCACCTCTTCCCTGGTCTTTGTACTTATTGTTGTCACGCTGTTGTGCTGTGGTTGCCGGACTCATTTGGTGTAGTAATGTGATCAATCGAGCTGGTCCAGCTGGATGTGTAGGCCAAGACCCTCGACCCCAGTAAGGATACCAGGATACAGTACCAAAGATTGTTTTGCTGAAGATCGATCTACAGTGCAGTGCTCTCTGAAAAGATTGGATCCCGTTTCCATCCGTGTCCAACATGTTTTACTTGTTGTAGGGGAATGAATTTCCTCTGTCATTTACAGTCGCATGTCAAGTCTACCTTTTTGGTTTACAGTGACCTCACATGCGACTCTACACCGTCTACACCAAAGATGGACTTCGCAGACCACTCTGACTCTCCGCCGCCCTGAAGTTGGTTCTGCCCACCGACAGGAAAGCCCAAACGCTCCAGAAACCGCTCCGCAAAACCCAGAGGCTGGGGTGGTGCTACCCGTTTACACACCTGACTTCAGGTTGATTGCTTTGTGTACGGGGGTGGAGCAGAGGACGAAAACCAACTACAAAGATCTACAAAGTAGCTTCCTTGGGAATCGTTTCACTGGGAATCGTTTCGCCTGTAGCAACAAGAAGCTATTTAGGATGTCTTTTGATATTTTTGATCGCTACTAGTAACAAGATAATTAGGTTGGAGACCATCACTATATACTAAATTCCAGGCCATCGCAAGTAGGTTGGAGGCCATTACTACTAACAAGAAGCTACTAGGAGCAAAGGGCATCGCTACTAGGAGCGATCGGACGCTACTAGGGGCTCCTGGCCTTACTACTAGGAACAAGAAGCTGCTAACAAGTTGCTCAGAGAGGCAATGCGGTTGCTCAGAGAGTTTTGCTCCGCAATGCCGGTGCGTCCCGTTTTGACCGAGTCCCAGAACTGGCTCCTAAAGCAAAGCATCCCAGAGGAGTCAACGAAGCAGAAGAAGGTTTCAGGCAAAAGACATCAAAAGACACTTAAAACTCTCTAAACACATCTTAATGCTTCCTTCAATGGCCTCTTCATCCCGTTTTCGACTTTATTCTTTTTGCGCCGACACGCGGACGAGGTACTCAAAGCTTTGAAAGGCCCTGAGGAGCCCAAGCGGGTTGCAGGCGGGTTTGGTTTGCTGTTTTCGACGGTGACAACGTTGGCCCTCGGAGGAGGCAACGATGTTCGGAGATGTTAGATCGGCCACCTTTTGAATCCTTTATAAAAGCAAGATGCTCCTGTATGATAGGGTTCCTTTTGCAATCACGAGGTAAAGTAGCACTTTCTTTAGATCCTTCCTTCACCTACAATACAAGAAAGCCAAGGGCACCTTGCTCAGGATTCAAGCTTTCAGAAATGAGTCTGAGGTGAATTCCACACTTTTTGTCGAATTACTGTATTCCCTCATTCTGACTGGACTCATTCCCCTCGAAGCAGTGGCCAGTTGAGGGAACCAGGTTTTGGAGATGAAAGCAGCCTTAGCATTCCCTGCCCTTGCAAGGTAAGCTAAACCATCAGGCCTGCATGGAGGAATCCGTGTTTGGCTTGCAGTCATGTCATATCCCGTAGACTAAGTCATGTCCATCAGCGGTAAATCGACTCTAGAATGGGGATTTGCTTGCCTCATGTTGGTTCCAAACTCATGTATAGGATTTGCTCCATGAAGACAAAGGTGCGCTGCAAACCCACAAGCATGGCCCCTGCTCATGACAGCACAAGTTGTCGGCAAAACCGCAAAACTGCTCTTTCCAATTTCCCTGCAGTTTTTGCTGAGTTTCCTGTTGTTTTCTTTCATGCGATCCTTGGAATCAAAAGACAAGCTCCGTGTTTGTGGGTACTTCTACTTGGTATCGCGTGAAGCTTTCCATCTTCAAATGCTCAATCAATCAGCATCATGTCTGATCGAGTCCTCAAACCCCGTGCTTCACCTGACGGCAAGGGGAAGTTGCTGTCAAGCAGGACTGACAAGAGCGAAGCCATCAACTCGTTTCTTATCTTTTCTCGGGACCAAAACGGTTTTGGACCAAAGCAGGGCCACCTCAAGGGCCGATAGGTTCTGAATCGGATCGAAGCATTTTTCAGCAAAAGGACATTTTAGGAGTTGGGCCTTGGTTTGCGTCTTTTGATGCAGGAGGACAGTCGACCAGAGAAATGACAGGTGGGGCAGCCAAGCGGAGCAGCCGCCGCCTGCAACCGCCAGATGTATGAAGCGCCCTCCCAAAATCACTCTACTTTCTGAATAGAGTCACCGCTGCTCCTTTGGTCCATTGGTGCCACCCTGAAGTCGATGTCTGGGGTTGGTAGGCGAGGGTCCGAGAGGATTGAGGATTGTCATGATATGCTGCTCAGAATCCATCCATCATCTCCCATGTATTGATAGTAAAGATGTCCCATGATCATCTACCCAACAGCACCCAACAGCTCCAAACGGCGCTCCTTCGCCAGCCCAGGCGTTTTTCGCATCCTCCGCCATGCGGTTCGTGAGTCTTCCACGCCCGACTCCTCGGCGTGTCCGAAGCAACTCCGGCTCCGGAGAACTGGGAAGAAGATGGAAGAAGTGGTCCCTTTCAGGTAAGCTGGGATTTCAGGTGTGGGGGGTGACTCACCGGCCACCCTGCTCGCTCTAGCTGCCTGAAAAGGCGAACAAGCAGCAGACTATCCAAGTGCGACCAACAATGCAATCCGATGGATTCAACTGGTAACTACTAGTAACTAGATGTATCTATATAGATGTAGTAGTAGTTGTTGATTTCTATGATTCTATTAGGGTTGCTTCCATCAGGAGCGCCAGAGGGATGCCAATTGGTGTTGTTCCAAACAAACGAAAATTAAAATCCGATGCTCTTGATGATAAATTACTTGATCGGAATGCCATTGGCATTGGCGATATCCATATCTACATCCTCTGAAACGCGAGCATCGTTGAGCATTTTGCATCCTTCTGTTGGCCTTGTCGCTTTGCCTCCCCTTTTCTGGCCTCACGCTCAGAGAACGCGACAGGCTACGTCAGAGAAGCCTCCCCGAGAAGAGATTATTCAGAGCGGTTGAGGTTTCCCGGGAACAACCAAACGAAGTGCCAGTAAGATCTCTCAGATCACCAGGAAGAGGACCGGAGTTGCAGCAGCTTTCTGTTCACAGCAGCAGCTTTCTGCCTACAGCGATGGATGTCCAAAAGCGGTCTATCTACACGACGTATTTGGCGGAGTCAGATATGTGAAACAGAGATGTGTAGAGCTGAGACGTAGGAAGGGTCATTTGCCTGACTAACTGTTCAAATGCCATACTTGAAGAGATTACATGCCAGTTACAGTTCGTGCACGCCGATTTAGTAGAACGCTTGACCGATATCTTTGGTGATTAGACATGAGTAGAGGCTAGTGGCTAGAGGGATCATGGTCATTGATCAAGCTTTTCCTATGATGTGTTTCTGCCTGTATGTCTTGTCATAGATCATAGATCATATGGTCTCCCAAGACCACTGCTTTTGTTTTGACATTTCAACGTGGCTGAAATGTATGACATGCTCATACATGCCCGTTGAATCGCCCAATCTGACTTGGCTGTTGATGCCCGTTAAAGACTGCATCGCCTGCTGCAGCCGTCGCGACGTGATTTTTTCTCCGGGACGCGCAGAGCGGGCGCCCGGCCGACGGCCTAGGCCAGGTTTGTCGACGCTAGAGTTACCAAACAATGAACGATCAGAAAGGCTTCACAAGTGAAGCATATTGAGGCAAAATTCTGGCTCAGGCAGTCAACACGGTGAAGATAGAAGGCCCAGTCTAGATGAAACTGATGAAACATGATGACACCTTTTCTTGGTGTTGATCCCGAGATCTCCTTGCACGTCAATGAGCGAATATTCGATTACGGAAACGGACCGTGAAGCAGTAGATGGCAGTAGTAGGGGGCAGATCTCCAAGAGACGAACACCCCCAAAAGGAAGACTAGTAACAAGAAGCTATTAGGAACAAGTGCATCGCTACTAGGAACAAGTGCCTTACTAGTAGTAACAAGAAGCTACTAGGCGCTCCTGGCCTTACTACTAGTAACCAGGATCTCTCAAATCAGATCCACCCAATGGGGCCACCGTGGGCATGGCCCCACCTCGGGCGCCACCCCGGGGGTGTGCCTTTCCAGAAAGCTCCTTGATGGATTCAGGAAGGGGCAAGCGACTCACGACCTCTCTGGGTGGTGGTTTCGATATTTTCAACATGTTTCAACCTTTACTTGAGAAGATTGAGCCCATGGACTAATACTTTTCGATTCAGTTGAAACCACCAACCAGGTTGATATGTTGTTCTGGTGTTTGATTCTTGAAAAACCACGACGGTACAGTAGATCATTTTCATGTGCGTTGGATGTTCACCGGCAATAGCTTGAGTCTTCTCAGTTTCCGTGTCCTTGACGCCCAGGTGCCATGTTAGACAGTGATGATTTCGATTTCTTGGAGCGGAAGTTTGAGCAGAAGTACGAGGTCAGAGTGCAGCAGCAGCTGGGGCAGTCAGGACATTTTTGTTGCGATCATCAAGTGATGCAGTTGGAAAGGCGCTCTTGTTCTGGCGGGGTTATGGTGGGAGGATGTGAACAGAATGAAGGCTATAGATTCAAAAGAGTGGTGGTCTTTTTGTACTCTGGGTGTAATGAGGATATTAGAAAGAGACATGGAAACGGCCAGAGACGGGTGTGCAATTGACTTCCTGCACCAGCTGGGAGAGTTGATTTTGCCGCTGGAATATGCCGGGATAGCATTTGCAGATCTGAATGCCTGCTTTGGAACACCACTGGGGGTTTGTCCCGAATCCATTCTTGTGGGGTCGCTACCCCCAATGGCCCTTCTCGATCCTTCTCGGTTGATTGCTCCTAGAGATCGGTTGAGAAGTCACTTTAGACAGCCTTGGCGGCTTGGCGGTGCTTCCTTTCAGAATTGACGCTTCGAAACAACATTCTGAAGCGAACAATCACCGGTGATGGTGCGAGAAGAATCATCCAGAGAATCCATGAAAACACGTTTAGATTCTTCCAAGTGGTAGCTGGAAGCTACTAGGTTGAGGCCATCGCTATTAGGTTGGAGGCCATCGCTACTGAGGAACAAGAAGCTACAGCTACTAGTAACGAGAGTGTTGTTTCTGTAGCCTGGCACGCTCCCGAGTACGTTTGCTGCATCGTTGACGCGACGCGCTAGGTCACTGAGCCCAAGGTTCTTGGTGAAGGGACCTATGGGAAGGCCCGGGGCCGGCGGCGAAAGCCGTTCACACGACCGGAAGGGTCGGCAGATTGAGTGCGCGACTCGGCGGGGTGTTGTATCAAATGGTTGCTGGATTAACAATGATCCCGATTTGCTCCCAAACCCAGGCTTTTGACAAGAACTTCGAAATCTTATGGGTTATGGGTTGGTCCCCTTTTGAAACCTGGAGCCCTGGTGTAGCTGTTGTTTTCCTGTTCCAGCATAAAAGCGGCACCTGATCTTCTCGTTTCACCTTTCAACTCCTCTTACCCTGACAGAGGTCTACAAGGCTGTGAGCAAGCAGAACAGCCAGGTCCGGGTCCTTTGGGGGAGGAAGGGCTGATATGGGCTAAAGAGGCTACTAGGAGCAAAGGACATCGCTACTAGGAGCAAGAACGCTACTAGGGGCTCCTGGCCTTACTACTAGGAGCAAAGGGATCGTTAAAGAGGCGAATGGGTTTGGCAGGGCTGATGTCGGACGGCAGCGCCAGAAACACTGTTGTGTCGTGCGAGGAGCGCCCCACTCCCATGTCATCGCTGTTGCTGCACTGAAACTGCTATCTCCAACTCAAAACGATTGCAAAAGGATGCAAAAGGCATGTTTGTGTAGGCACCGAGTTTGATATCATACGAATCACGTGAACCACGTGAGGCTGCCAGTGAATCGTTGGAGCATGTTGGAGCGCAATTTTCAGAGCTGGTTTTCCAACCACGTGATTCAGAGATATTCAGAGTTCCGTCATCACTCGATGAACAGCATGGAACTGGCTCTTTTGTATCTGAAACTAGAATTATATAGGTCGAGTCATTGCCCATTTTGATCTGCAGCTGTTTCATGAGCCCGGGCTGCTATGCGAACAGGGGAACTGTGCACAAACAGCCACAGCTGAACAAAGACCATGCATTCAGCCACCAGCTTTGCGCGATAGAATCCGGCAATCCTCCGACAAGCTCCTAACAGAAAGGGAGCATCAACACTTTCCCAACAAAGAACCTGAGAATCCGCGATTTGTAGGCCATCGCTTTTAGGTTGGAGGCCATCGCTTTTAGGTTGGAGGCCATCGCTTTTAGGTTGGAGGCCATCGCTACTAGGGTGGAGGCCATCGCTCTAAGGATGTCTTTTTTGATCCTTTTGTCCAATTTCACAGCGACAAGGACAAAAGGACATCAAGCAGCACGCCATCACCAGCTCTCTGAGCTTTGTTGTGCAGAAGGGCTGTCTTCTTATGGCGCTGATGGCCAGAATCCGAGCAGATGACCTGGAAAGCGAGGGCAGCGGCTCCATCTTCGAAGACGAAGGCCCCAGCTGTTGTGCTTTCTGAAGAAACCACAGCAAAACAAGCAGTCCCAACATCTTAAGCAAGACTCAGGGAGTCAGAATGTACTTGAATCTACGATTCTGCTTGTTCTGCTTGGAAGGCTTTCTCCTGATGCAAACGTTGCAATCCTATCATATCCTATCCCACTGCATCATTAGATTCCTCAAACACCAAAGAATAGCACCAAAACACCAGCACAGCCCTTGTTTGCCGTTCGTACAACAATTGTTTGAATTGCATTCATGCACACCTTTGTCTTCTCGTCTCCTTGCTCAGCTGCGGCGGGGAACTTTTGATCATACATTCAAAGGTCATTCCATGAGCATTTTGTATGTTTGTTTTGGTTTGGGCATCTTCTTGAGCCTCGTTAGGTTACACCATCACCACTCGGGACTTCCATTCTGCATGGGTAGTACCATGACCATGGGTAATTATCTCGCGGTATGTTGGCGGATGTCTTCATGAAGAACTTTGTGTGGAAGATAACTTTAACAGTCATTTGGAAGGTGAAGTGGAAGAAGCCCTTGAAGACAAGAAGGCAGCGTTGATGCAGATGGGCTTCGACCCGGCCGCTGTAGCCGCCGAGCAAAGATTGAGTATGGCGAGGTGGTGATGATGATGATGATGATGGTGGTGGTGATGATGATGATGATGATGATGATGATGTCGTCGTCGTCGTCGTCGTCGTCGTCGTCGTCGCAGCCTTGGGTTTCGCGAATTTTTGGTGAAGGTATAGACTCTATAGACAAGCAGGCAAGTCATGGTGATTTTGGTTGGAAATCTTCCTTAGTGATTTCAGGCTATGTCAGAAATCCACATGGCCAGAAAACCTTCCTGGCATATCCTGGTGACATCTGGTGGCTGTCAGCTTTCCAGCAGCGTATTAACGGTTTGACCGTGTGCCAATTGGCCCGATGTGACTTCACACTGTCAGGATGGTCATTTGAGATGGGTCTCCGGGATTCCAGTCACGGATGAACGTCTATAAACATGGGATGCTAGTAGCTGCTAGTACTTACATGTACTTATTACATCTTATTACATTGGACAGAAGCATTTGCATCTCAAATAAGGTAGAAGTGGTGTCTGTCCCAAACCTCTTAATCTCGAGACGCGACTCCAAGTATATAACTCTCCTGTCGTTTGTGCGTTGATGGTTGTAGTCATAGAAGAAACAATTTCTCCCTTCCTTGGGAGAAGAACATGGTTTTTGGAAGTTCTTGTTCCATGTCCATGCTTTAGATTTGCATTTAGCCGCTTTGCCGAGGCTGACGCGCTAGCGCATGCTGCAGGTGATACGACCAGACTCTGGTCCGGGAGTGCAGCTTTTTGGATGGGTAGATGCACTAGGCAGAGGCTTAAGAGCAGGTTGACCGGTCTGTCCATCAGTGACCCTTCCAGATCATTCTTGCTCACACCGAAGGGGAAGAGATGACCTGAGGCCTGAGACCGAGCTTTTTTGTAGCATGGATACCAGGAATTGAGATAGGCCGCGTGGATATCTGGGCTACGACAGTTCATGACAGATAACCGAAAGGAGCTTGTTATCAAGAGTCTCTTTGATTCTTCTGTGTTTGAGAAGATGATGCTAAGGAGATGTATTTTTTTGAAGAATTGTAGAGGGCATCCGTTCTGTTCGTGTTGGGCACCCAATCAAAGTGGCCAGTTGTCCATCAGCCAATTAAGAGCACATTCATGAGATTTCATGAGTGTATATGAGCTATATAGAATCAAAATGAGAGAACATTATCAATAGTCAGTGAGTAGTGAGTGGTCATGGGATCTCAAAATACATGGTTTGCTAGAAAAAACGATAACGCACTCCCCTCCGTAAAGACGATCATGTGATGGACATGAAAAACGGTAATACACGCATCAATCCTGTTGACCAGCAACTACATGAGAGACTTTGAGCGTCATTCATACACACATGTAGCAAGTGCAATGTGATTTGGATGCTTTGTCATGTTGGTTACCAAGCGGAAGCTAGCGGTGTACAGATCCCCTCGCTTCGAAGCGGGTGTCCATGATGTTCAGTTTAGCCTCACATCATTTGTGCAGGCTTGACCCTCTCCAGAGCTAGAACCACAAGATGTACAGAATCCTCTTCCTAACTGGGGAACACCACAGCTGGTTCTCATGACTGTTGGAATTCGATCTGTTGGGATGGTTGCTGAGGAGCTATCGACCTTCTGATGGCCCAAGCTCCTTCAGAAGTGATGCTCGACCCCGGAACGCTGCGCGAGCGAAGAGCGCGTTCCTGTTTGGATCCCTTCCAAGCAGGTCTGTAGACCACGGAAGGTGTGCGAAAGCATTTCAAACGGAAGAGTCGCACAGAACATGCTCAGACCAAGCTTGGAGCTTCCAATAAGTGAGAGCCAGGAAAACACATCCTCAGAGTTGCGTGGATATCTTTGTTAAACTGATTGGATTGAAGAGTTGTACCGAGCTGGGGCCCACTTACTACAGGTTCAAACGTTAGGTCTCAGCCATGGAGTCCGCGGAGCACCCCACAGATGACTTGGAAGTAGTGCCAGCGTCCCGCTTGGATGTGACTGGCGGGTTGAACATTGGCCGAACATTCTTTTTGCCTTCCCGAAAGACAATGTGCGAAGGCTATTCTTCGATATATATAATATATATATATATGATGTAAAAGGCTATAGGCCCGGCGTTTGATCCAAGGAAGTTGTTTGAGGACATTGTGGAGTAACCCAGATCTCCACAAACCACCCACTGAGGACTCAGCTCATAGACATGGGTTACCCAGAGGATGCCGCGCGTGATGCGTGACCTGGCAGTCTTATCATGACATACAGACCTACGCCAATCTACGGTTCATGCCGCCAATCTGCAACAATAGACCATACGTCCTGATCAGGCCAGCCTTATTAGGCCTTTCCTGCCCAAGGGCACTGCTCATGCATGGACAGCTTTCGGATTAAAACTGAAGATGAATGGTGTTTTCACGCCGCTTTGACAAGCTCACTTCTATTGGCTGCAGAAAAAGAGTTTTAGCTTGATTCAGCAAGCTTCCCTTTTCTCACTCTTTGCCAGATTCTTTTTTTGCGGGCACAGACTTGTGTTGAAGTCCAAAAGCCTACGGGCCATTGACACAACGATGCAGAAAGAACACGGGACAGACCTCAGCCAGTCACCTCGGACTGTTCAGGCTGGAGCGCACTAACAGTTTGGAGGAGGCCGCAGACCTCTTGATCTCGGAGGCTGGGTCCTTGTGGTCCTTGTGGTTTGGTGATGGGCCGGGGACGAACTCCGAACATCGGGAGAATGCGTACATTTAAATACACAATCCCTTGGGGACTCACTCAAGTACAAACATTACGAGGGGCTGGGGGACAGCTTGTGAAGTTTAGACAAGATGTTATTCCCCACCTGTCAGGTGAGGGTTGTTATATAGGTTTTATGGCAGCTGCCTTCTTCCTCCTCCTCCTCCTCCTCCGCGTCCGCCTCCGCCTCGTCCTCAACCACCAGCTCCGGATGGCAGTATTCCCCGCCGGACCTCAACCGCGAGCTCCAGCTGGCAGTGTTCCCCGCCGGACCTCAACCGCGAGTTCCGCTCGGCAGTGTTCCCCGCCAGACCTCAACGGCCAGCTCCAGATCGCGGTGGGCACCGTCGGACCTCGCCAGATAGAATGTCAGAATTTATGCCAGATAGAGTGTCAGAATATTTGCCAGGCAGAAGGTCCGAATATATCTGGATTTCAGAAGGCGCGCCAGAGAGAGTGCCAGAGTACTTGCCAAGTAGAATGCTAGAGTATATGCCAGATGGAGTGCCAGCAATGATGCCAGATAAAAGGAGCAGTTATGGTAGATAGAGTGCCAGCAACTATATCTTTGATGGCAGAACAAATGTCGAGTACATGTCAGAACACATACCAGGACTCAAGTTGGTCCGTCCATATGTCACAGCACATGTCAGACAGGAAAAATGACAAGCCAACAAAGATGTCAGAACACAGTCCAGAACGTCCTAGCCTTTATGATAGATGTGTCAGAGCACCAACCAGATTTGATGCCAGAACAGGCGTCAGAGCAAACGTCAGAACATCGTGTCAATCCGCATAAATCGCCTTTCAGAGTGGGGGTCACTCGAAGTAAAGTATGCTAAATGTATTTTGTAATTGGGTTTTGGGAGGAACTTTTGAGGTCAACAGACGTTCCATGGAAACTAAGAGGCGGGCCACTCAACCACCCAACGGGGATTGTCTATGGTCCGATCTCCCATGTGAGGTATGGGGTGCCGGAGACATTGGTAGTAAGACTCGCTTATTCCATTCTGAAAGATTCTCCGAGTTGTCTCTATCTCCAAATGTATGAGATCTCCATAGCTAGAAGACTGGAGTAGTGCGAGGCTTAAGTCGGAAACCATAGTAAGTTGTATGTTATATGTGTAGAACAATCAAGACTGCATGTAAATCATTTAAATTTAAATGATAATGAACAATACCCAAATGATTAGGAAAAACAACTATAGATAAACCAAAATCCAGAGTCAGACTGTAGACTCAGCGCAGAGATCGATACATCACTAATCATATGTGTTGCCGCCTGTATATTTTAACATGTTTTAACTTTAACCATGGTTGTACTAAAATGAGGCGGCGGAAGAAGGAGGCACTATTTTCCAGCAGGAAAACTGAAGGAGAGTCAGACTTGAAGAGGCCTGAAATATGTGGGTTTCAATATCAAAAGAGTCGGCTGAAATTGAAATAATGATATCATATGATATCTACGTCAGCAGAGGCAGAACGACATCAATGGTTGTGCAGTCTGGTACAGGTATACGGAAGGTTTGGATATGTTTGGATTGAGCAAAGTAGAGAGACATTCCCAGTGAAACGATTGTGAGTGAAACGATTCCCAAGGAAACTTCTAGTTACTAGAAACATTTAAAGAACAACTGTGAGGGGTTTAATTTCGATCCAGACAAAGCTTCAATGAGACGAGGAGATAGACGAGTGGCGATGTAGAACGTCGAGTGACGAGTGGGATGAATTTGCCGCCCAGCAGCTCAGGCGGTAGTTGTGGGACAGGGGCTGAGCCTTAAGCCCCAAGAGCAGCCAAAGCACAACGCCTTCCTTGAGCGGCAAGAATGTGCGTGTGGCTTCCCCCAAGGTTTTAAGAGCATGTCGAGACCACCTTTGGTCAAGAGACGGCCCAGTGGACATGATTGACCCATGATTTGGGTCACCGCGCTGTCAACATGTCCGCCACAGATCCAACGAAGTGTGACTGGCTACGGCCTCCACATAGCAGTAAAGGACAACGGGGCTGTCAAACCTGCAGTTCCCTGGGTTGCTAGTCTGTCGCAGTGCTGGCCGTACCGTTTTTTCCGAAGAGCTCCGCAAAAGATGAAGGCTGATGAAGCTTCCACCGAGGAGTCTCGAGTGGTATGTGGAATGCAAGTAAATACTTGGTCGGCGCAATCGAGGATTTCTGTGGGAAGGCGGTTGCAGCTGTCGCGTCATTGGTCGGGCAGTCATCGATATTTCAATCATTACAGCAGGATCGCAGATGCACATTTGTGCAGTATCGAGACGACCGGTGGGCGCTGCTCGTTTGATGAATAGAACTTTGCCATACGGGATCCGACTGCTTTGCAGTGAAATGACTCACAGGTCCCATTGTGCGATATTGTGCAGTTTGGCCTCTTACAACACTGTTTCACGGAAGGCAAGAGCGTGTCATTCAACTACGTAGTTCTTTTGGGAGGGACCCTATTTGGTAGTGAAGCTGGGGTTGGCAATTTAATGCAATTTTTATCTCGCTGCCACCCGCCAATGACAAGAGCAGTTAATGAGACAAATACTGACACCTCTGGATGGGCTGGACACCAGGCATTTCATTAGTGCTTGGATGCCTGGGCAAAAGAACATGTTCCTCTATGCAGGTTAAACCATGAATTGCTTGATTGACGGTCGTGAGCAGGACCAGAACTTAGTTGTGATCAGATTGCAGGTTACAACATGTCACAACCAAACTCCCCGAAACCACAGGATGGGCTGGCCCCAGGCAGCACAGGTGCCGTGCCACCGTCAGCCGGACATGGGGAAAAGACTTTGCAATGCTGTTGAGGCCCTTGGCCAGAGCGCTGCTCGCCGCCACGCCAGCGCCTCGCGCAGTCGCTCACGCAGCCGCTCGCGTGAGGAAGCTCGTGAGGCGTCGCCGGAGGAAGCGCCGGTGACGGCGCCCAACCGACCGAGGAAGAACCTGGAGATTTTTGCGGACAAGGCGGTGCTTTTGGGTTTGTGACCATGGCAGGAGGCCTCATTTTTTGGATTCTGACTAGTTTTTGGAAGCAGCAGAGAGGTTTTGGAAGATGAATTACTGTACACTACAATATAAAATTCTCTTCATGGCCACTGGGATCCGTTGCGTGTTATCGATCCGCTCAATGGGATGGGAAGACAGCGGCGAGGGTATTTTTTTGGTTTAGGGATGTTTACAGTTTCGCTGTATGCTTTTTGTTGGCAGGGTCTTGAATTGCACCATGTAATCCTCGACCTCGATGACTGTGTACTCCGAGAAAGAAATAGACGTGATGACTGGGCCGTCGTAGTGATCACACTCGCAGGTGAAGGCCACCGTGATTGACGCACTGGCTGGCCCTGAGTGCAAGCGGAAGTCGCAGGCCAGTCGACACCACAAATTCCCATTACTTCAACAAACGTATGCCCAGCGGATCCCAGCGGAACTTCTAAAGAGACACACACACACACACTCGAGATTGCGTACTGAACTGAATGCCACATGCCACACGCCCACCTAGGTGTGAACGCCTAAGGGTACCAGGAAGAAAAGAAGTAGTGCTGTCCCAGCGATCATGAAATCGGCGACGGGGTGATGGCGAACGCTCACATTTGCCGACCTAAGAATAACCTAAACAGCCTGTGCATCTAGAGGAGAAGGTGGTTACAGAACATCGCACTTGTGAAGTTGCGGGTGCACAGTTCAAAAGTAACAAATCAAAGCTCGGAGAGATTAAATCAACGGATTCCCTGTGACTCCAAGGGTTTCACACACACACACACAAACGCATTCCAAAAAGTTGGGAGGTGCAGAAAGACTAAGGGGCAGGCTAATGTGCATGTGCGCGTACAAAGCAGACAAACGGATGAAGACATGAAAAGAGGACAAGACAGACAAGGGTGTATGTGGTTGCAATGAACAGGAACCAAGTGACCAGGGACAACCGATGAGCCAAACCTCCTTGTAACAACCTGGGCGACCTCAAACCTGGGCTTCAAGTATATAAATACAATTGCGCGCGTACACTAAGGGCCAGACCGATGTATGCGCAAGAGAGAAAAGGGAAAGGGATGAGGTGCCAAGACATGAAGACAGAAAGATATGAAACGAAAAAGGAACAAGAAAGAGTGTAAAGGGGGAACGGATGAAAAAGGAAACCAAATGGAGGGGGCGGAACACAATGAAACCACATCTCATTGAGAGAACATAGGTAGACAAAGCCTAGTTTGGTATGTGCGTGCCGTATGTGCATTTGAGGTCGGAACGGCCCCAGTGGGTCTAAAAATTATGTGGCCGCTGCGGTCTACGGGCCCTGCTGGCGTGCCCTGGGGCTGCCTACTCAGTTGCAATAATCCGTCCAGTCTTGGGAAATAACTTTGGCATAAGCCTCCTACGCTCGCTGCGAGCTATTCTGTTTCCGAGCAGTGGAAACGTAGACAAGCCCCCGTTCAACGGGGCCACAGGGAACACTCCTCGGGTACACCAGGGGATGGCACAAAGGCCAGACACACTCGAGATATTGCATACTGAACTGATTGCCACAGGCCACACGCCCACCTAGGTGTGAACGCCTAAGGGCACCAGGAAGAAAAGAAGTAGTGCTGTCCCAGTGGACGAATTGTGAAGCTTTTTGGTGGGAACTCCTGGATTTACAAGACTTTGGGCTCAGTTTAACAAAGATTGAAAGGGGCTGGGATGGGCTGGGCATCCAGCCCAATTCCATATGGATCCTCCTGGGCTGCATCTACTAAGCCCTTTTCTCGTTAAGGCCACCATGTTTGTAGAGGTGGTCTTAACTCCGTCAACATGGTGGCCTCAGGTCTCATGGACGCCTAAACTGACTTCGTATGACTTTCACCGCCCTCGTTCGTTTGGTCGGAGTGTCCGACGTGGCTGGTAGCTTTGCGCCTCGGCGACTTGCTCATGAAGTCGCCGAGTTGCCGCATCTCGCAGGTGTTGAAATCCATTAAGCGCGGCCGCATCTCGCAGTGGCAGCACCATTGGCAGAAGGACCCCAGCGAAGAGCGAATGGAGTCCTTCTCCCCAGGCAGATGGGACCGGGAATGAGAAGAAGGATGGTCAGTGTACGAGTGAACAGTGTGCAGGTTTTCAATGACTTTGATCAGCTAGAGTCCTTGTGGTTTTCTAAGATTGTTTCCTGTTCTTCGTGTTTCAAGCGGTTTGGGCCCCATTCCATTCCTTCATTCCTGATTCCATTGCCACCTCAGGTTATGCCAAGCTAAAAGGATACCAACGCGTAGGCGTGCGTTGGCTCCTGGCTTTGGCGCGCTTGGGCCACGGCTCCTTGCCAGGGGCACACGGAGTGTGCGTGGAACGGTGTGAGAGTCATGTAGCCATTGTGGCTCGTTATGGTATCGTATGGGCGTGGGTCAACATGCATATTGACCCGCCAAGTTGCGCCCTTTGAATTTCTGGGCTGGGTGGATCACTGCACTACTCGGATGTCTCGAGGTGACTAAAGAACCGTGTGTCATTTGCACTCTTGTGATCTCAAGGTGTTAGATACAAATTCCCAGGAGGATATTGGATCAAATTTCATGTCAAGTGCGCAAACAACCCTGAGAGGAGCAAAACAATCATGGACGCCAGTGTGATTGATGTTTGCTGTGGGCGACCCGCGCAAAGAGACCGACCGAACATCCCATGGAACCGACTGCCCGACCCTCGGGACGTCACCGAGGAGGCATCCTTGCGGACGAGATGGGCCTTGGGAAGACGGCACAGGCCGAGGGAATGCGCGACGGAAGAGGGAACGAAGCGGGAAAAGTTTGGCTATGGTCAACTCTGGGGCCTGCTTTAGGGTGATCATGGGTGAATTATCATGACTGAAGACTGATGAAGATCTTTTTTTTTTGTAGTTTCCTTGACTTGCCGATCTTGGTGTAAATTAGAAGGTGGAATCATGGTCTGAAAGATCAAGGAGCTTCAGGAACAGCTCAAGATTAGGTCTACCGGTCTACCCAACTGGGGCCACCTTGTTTTGGTGGACACTTGCTGCTGCCGGTGGCACCACGATCCCATGTGTTGCCAGATGGCCACCCAAAGTGCGGCTCTTCTCTAGAGGCCTTGGTCTTCATAGACATCTTGGTCAAACAACAAGCAGCGAGATCGCGCTTCTTGGACGGGAGGGATACAAGCCTGGTAGCTCCACAAAAAGGATGCCCCCCTTCGGTGTCAACTTCGAGCGTTTTCCTCACCTGGTGGCAATGTGGAAGCACTGGACAGATCTTGGGGATTGCAGGGTGTAGCAAACCTTTCAACCCAACCTAAAGTCTAATTGTCGGCATGGTTGCGTGAGATGGTACCAAAACGCAGATGTTTGACGCATCCGGGTCACTTGGTCAGGGGTGACATGCTTCAGGATGGTTGAACTTGGACTTGTGGATTTAATCTGAGTTACATCAGCTGTTTACTCTTTTTGGCTGTGACTGGGTCGTCCTGTAATTAGGTGTCAAAGGCAGGAGGGGATGGATTGTGATGGATTGCTTTTTGTTGGGTTCTTAGATGTTGAGTGTGGAGTGCAGAGAAGTACACATACTCCAAACAAGTGAGGATTGGTTAAGCAGACACTATGCGCAGGCAGTGAAAACACAACCAGATTGAAAGAATTTGCTTTAAGTTGGGGGGGTGGGCACCCTACACCTCAGCCGAAAACGAACTTTTGTTCTAATTAGAGGTGTTTTGATGGGTGAATTGGACACAGAACTGCTCGTAAGTGGCCATGTGGAGAACGAATTCACTCGTGTTATAATTGTTTCCAACTTTGCCCTTTCAAGGTGTTTCTATCACCTATGATAAATGACTATATATATATATGTATTATATATACACACTGTAAATGATATGAATCAAGTACCTTGAAATATGCGATGATTACGATTGTATAGGAGCATTGCATTATATATATATGTGGGCATGCTCCAAACCCTGGCAAACGATAGGGGACCCACAAAGAACGATACCATTTAACACGGTTCCAAGACATAAGACAAAACGATAGGGGACTCACAAATCTGAGGATCCAACAGCCACAGATCATAAAATTGACCATGACTCACATGTCTTTGAACATGCACAGCTCCTTTGGAAGGTCAATGAATCTCAAAAGGGCTTCCCTGTTGGGGCACTGGCACAGCCCTGGCCGTCCAGACACACATCGGTCACAGAACCCGTGTGAGGGACCCCGGCGGTTGCTCCGTCTTTGGTGTTCCTGGCAGTTGTGCCTATGGCTGTGCTCGAGACGTGGGAGAGAGACACTCGGCAGTCAGGAGTGACCAGTCCGGAGTGTTTCCGTTCTCAGTGGTTCCTATGTATATAGATATATGGATAGACTCTAAGATAAATTCGATTCGATTGGATTAGATTGGATTGGATTGATAGATAACTAGATTATATAATTACATTATATTGGATTGATAGATAGACGAGTTGTTTTTCCTTTTTGGGGACTGGCTGAAGCTTAAACACTGAGTAGTCATGGGAGCCCTGCTGTGGCTGTGATGGAGAACCTCACGAAAGCAGCCAAAGGTTAGGATTAGCGAAGGACATAAAATAAGATCATAAAAGGGTTTCAGCTCAAAAGTTTCAACCTGAGCCTGGAGGCTCTCCTTTCCACTGAAGAAACACCTCCATGGGTTGCAGTTCAAGCCCGCTGAGCCCTGTGGGAGCCTGGTCGAGCCAAGGAGTGTGCGCTTTGGTGCCCTCACTTCAAGACGTTCCGCTACCATCACGGACAGATGAAGGAGAGATGGGCGCTGGCCAGCCGTTTCTGGGCCGTTTCGGAGGTGAAAGGGTCACAGGATTGACCTATGCCGACCTTCGATCATCAAACTAAACCAACTACATATGTGATTTGAGAACAGATGACCAATGACTGCAAGTCTTCTAAGCCAGCAGTTCGTATTCAAAAGGAGTTGTTGGGAGACAAGTCCCTTTTCTGAGGCGACATGTTTACTGGACTTGAAGTGCAACCTTGCAGCTACACCACAATGTGGGTCCTCGTAGAAACATGCAACCATGGAGCAATTGAGTCCCTTGGTAGAAGCAGAAGCTTGACAAGAGTGAGCAGCATATTGGTTGAACGGTTCACCTATTGTTAAGAGTTCAGAAGCCTGCAGGTGAAGAGTTTTTTTTAATGGATTTTTTATGGTTTGGATATGATCTGGGAATATGTTTTTTTAGCACTTTTTTTTTTTAAATGAAGTCGCATTTGGAATATGCGGCACTGTTGGGTGCTCACTGTGCCCTTCCTGTGACCACGCAGCCGCCCCTGGAAGATCGCAGGGATCCGGTTTTGGGGCTCCTGTTCCATATTCCGGGTTGGGTGTTTTATGTGGGTTTGGGGGTACTTGTGAGGAGGGCCCAGGGCCTAGGGCGGGGCGTGTGATGGCAGTCCCCTAGAGGCCCGACACCAGACTCACACCTTTGTGGAAAGTGTATTCTTCCCCATAAACAAAACCTGGAGCTCTGGAGCCACCGTATTTTTTCTGTAAAGAATCCATATTGTTGGAGAAGGGTGCAAATCATATAAACACCATAAAACACACTGTGTTTTATGGTTTTATATGATTTTTACTTTTCTCTAATTTTTGAACTCATAAAACTACCAATCTGCCCAAACCATAAAAACACATAAAACACAGTGTGTTTTATGGTTTTTATATGATTTGCATCCTTCTCCAACAATATGGATTTAATATGGATTTTTTATGGCCTTTTTCAGGCCCTATGAGGTGAGCCGAAGCACGTGCCAGACATACCCAAGTGTGTTGCCTGGGGGCCTAGGGCGCCACAATTTTCCAAGTTCTGTGACAGGTCTGACAGCCCCCCTACATGAGAGTTTCCAAGTTCCCCTATATGAGAGTTTCCAGCCTGCCCACTGACAACACATTCTGCTTATTGCAGCCCTGGAGCGCCTATTTAATAGGCCTATTTAGTAAATTTAGTAGTCCTCAAGCTGTAAAAAAAATCATTAAAAAAACATAAACATATCATAAATCCAATTTTAGCCTTTTTCACAACCATATAAAAACATATCTTCAAGCCATTAAAAAAAAAACATTTAAAAACCACATGTAACACTATTTCTGGAAATGAGCCCTGTGCAGAGGTTATGAACTCATAAACCTATTGTGTTAGACATAGAGCGGACAACCTCCTACACCCCTCGTGAACCCATCAAACATGAATGCAACAGTCTAGATCTTGGGGATGTTGACAAGAGTCTGTTGGGCAATCCGTTTTCAACCTCAGACAATCAAGGCCTCCCGTAAATTCTAACAGGGAACAGAGACAAACATCCATTGGGTCAGAAAACAACTTCCCACATCTGGATGAAATGACCCCATAGTAGCCTATCAGATCTCAGGATCGATTTCCTGATTTTGTTTCGCCGTTGGTGCCGGCTTTCCGACTCATTCTGATAACCCTTGGTGTGCACCGGTGCACAGGTGGGCACCGCTGCCGGCCTTAGGCTTTTGTGAGGAGATCAAGCTCAATGGGCTTGGGGATTCTCCTCGCTTGGTGCTCACCACTGCGAGCATCCTGGGGAACAAGGACCTTCTGTGATGGTTTTTGGCCTGCAAAAACATCTGGCGAGCAGATTGGGCGGTTTCCATGTGTGCAAAAAGCAAAGGATTTATGGCATTGGTAGGTCTTCTTGCCATGTCTAGTGTCTAGAGAGGGAGTGGCAAGAGACCTGCACGGCACTGGACCAGAAACATCAAGGAACATCCACATACGCACCGGTCACCTCGCATGTGTCCCCTATGGTTCAACAGGAAGACCAGTGCAACTTCTTCAAGCAGCTCACCTTTGAGTGCATCATTTGCGACGAGGCGATGAATGTGGTGTACTTTCAACGAAGGTTTTTCACGCGAGGAATGGAGAATGCAAACAGGTTCGCGAGAGGTTGTGCCAGTGAAAGAGGGGATGTTCTCCACCTGCCTTAGTGGCAAACCGCTTTTAGATGTGTACATTGACATTGCCAGATACATAACGATACATACACGTTGCTGTACATGTTGGCAATACATACTGGTTGCCGCTGGTAAGCCGTGTCCATGCAAAAAGGAGTCTTGCGCTCCAATGTGAACGGAATCATGACCAAGACATACCAAGACTAAACCAGACGTTCTGGATGGGATTAGACTAAAACCCGCTGCAGTTGCGCACCGGCTGCCATTGATGGCCACGCATGGCAAATTGAATGTGGATTTGCACAAGAGGTGAGAGGTCCCCTTTGTGCTGGCCACTGCCACCGGAACCAGGCCCATGCCTATCGAAATGCGGGGACTCAGACTTTCAAGCATGTTGATCGGACGCTGGGCCGGCAATGAGTGAACATGGCCAGGGCAACCAGATAAGGACGAACGTTTAACATGTTTGGGCAAAGAATTGGAAGGCTCTTCAGGCGTCTCGTCGGCAACTCATATTCCGCTGAAAGACGAGTCATTCAGCTATGGATGAGAGCTTGATGTTTCCGGCCCCCTTTTTGGAGGATAAGAGCCATGACCGTCCTCGTCGTTTGGAGAACGACCGGTGACGGACTTCGTCCAAAGGTCATGCGGGGCATAGATGTTCTTTCGCCACATTGAAGTTTTTTAATGATACGGCGACCACCGAGATCTACACATTTCTTGCTCGAAAATCTACTGCCGCCCGTGAAGACACCACTATTCACTCCAAAAGTCACGGTAAACGAACATAAACAATAGCATGTTTGCCAAATTTTTTAAAGACCAACTGACTGTTGCCTATCAAATCTATCAAGACACCTATTTGTACACATTCGTGTGCTTTTTGCTTCAGGGCTCCAGCGCATAGGGAAAAGTTTCCTTTTTGTTGCTGTAAGCTCATCAGAGTTTGATACAAAGGGGTTGGCAGACCTCCACACCATTGGCGATTGTTTCTTGCTGTGTGCCGGTAAAAGTTTTGTCGCTTAATGTCGCTTACTTTTTCTTATGGGAAAGGCTATACAGGGCCTATTGCAAGTGTTGATGAGGTAGGCTGGGGATGTTTGGCAGGCCCCGTTGTTGCAGCTGCAGTAGTCCCAGATCCAGCGCTTCCGGTATCTATACTTTCTTTGGCTCCAAAAACAATTAAAACATTTAAAACAAACACGTAACACTTGTTAAAGACATTAAAACACAATCGGCTTTCCTATATGCCACAAATGGTATCCCTCGCACACATCTTACCCGCGGTCAAACTCGTCCGATGACTCCGAGCCTTGCTGTTGTTGGTCCCAAGGATCCGGGCCAAGCGGAGAGTGCTGTTGACTGGGACTCCAGTGCACAACAGCTTGCAGGCCAAGACCGAATGTGCGTGATGCATGCGTCGTCACGCGCGTGATTGCAATGTTTGGACACGTTGTATGTTTTAGTATGTGCTCTCTATGATCCCCTGACTGCGATCTTTTTTGGCCACATGAAGACGTTTGGTTCCTTTTTCACGGCGGTGGGGCCAGTTTTGAGTCCCTGCACGAGGAGCTGGGGAATTTGTTGAAGCTTGTGTTGCAGATCTCTCGAGACAAGTGCAATCCCAAGCTGGTGCGGCGGCCTAGGAAGGCCAAGGCTTTTCATGTGTGTTGCATCATCCGTGCTTCGGTGGGCAAAAAGGAACTCTGCCCCTTTTTTTTAAAAGAAATAGGCCCGATTTTGAAGTGAGCATGTTTGAAAGAGTGCCGCAGATTTGTTGGTTGGCTGTGCACTGGTGCTTGCCATTCAAGCCTACCTTTCAGCCTCGGAACCTCAAACCCACATGTATATATTTTTAACTATATATTGAATATTTAAGGCATAAATGCAGACGAGGAAAAATGATATTATTGAAATTGGACGAGGCGAGGTATTGATTTCAATCACGTTGAATTAAGACGAAGTCCGAGGTAAACAAAATGTATGAAACTATGTAATTCAGCCAGAACAGGTGCCGAAGGGCTCGAGGAGCTCAAAACCTTGCTACAAAACAGCAAAATATAACTTAAACTATGATAACATTGGGTATCTTGGGGCATGTTCACGCGCCAAGCTCTTGTGAACCACACCAATGTACCCCTAAACCTCGCCTTCTTCGTGTAGCCGTCTGACCTTTTGGGGGATTCCACGGACTACCGGCTCGCCTAGGTGAAGATCGGCCGCGAGCTGGATGGCATTGTGGAGCGGCAGCCACTTGGATGGGCAGACCATTTGGGAGAGGCGGCCCAGTTGGGCCAGAAGAGCAATGGCCTCTAACCTAGAAGCGATGGCCTCCAACCTAGAAGAAACACAGGGGCCATGCAACAATCCAACTTTTTTGATGAAGCAGGAATCCTGTTTTGAATCGGAATATATATTACTGTAATTGCAATGCACCGGTTGTGACCGCCGAGCTGATTTGAACGGAACGCTTCCAAGACCTTCCATGTCTTTTTCAAGCTTCTACTTTGAGGGGAAGTCGAGATGCTGAAGCAATCCTGCTGGTCTGGCAGTGGCTGACTGCGGTGAAGTTTTGAAAAGCTTGGCAGTCACTATCGGATATTATCAGATGGGCAAGCTGTGTGATTGCACTCCCAAAACACAACGATGAATGGGGAACATCGGAGTGAACGATGAATGCTTCCCCAAATGACTCAGTGAATTCCCACTTTGTTTATTTGTCCGATCAATAAGTGTACGACTTGTTTGGTTCAAACGAGAGTTTGTCTGCAGGATCCTGCAGGCTTTCACGGTCACAACTCTTGGTTTTATACACGTCTTGTGGAGAGTTGTTTCTATAATCTTGGCAGATCATCATGAGGGTTTTCACGCAAGAATTTAATGGAACAGTGAATATGGACAAATCCACTACCAATGCCATCTAATTACTATATAGCCATAAATTGCTGCAGGCCAGTTTTTTTTATCGTTGTTCAGTGAGAGCTTTGGGACACGTCGGACACGCAGTGTTTTTGTCACGACCAGGTCCCTTCGAACCTTGCAAGTGCGTGCAGCACCCTTCATGATGCGGAGGCCGTGCGAACTCCGTGGGTCGTGGCCGTGGGGGCCAAGCGACTTGAGATGGGAATGGAAACTTATTTACAATATATGGGTTTGTATTTTTTTGGCGTGTACTTCCTGATGTAGTGGTTGGAAGTTCGACTTGAGCGATTCATACCCTCGAATCATACCTCGAATCATACCCCCGAATCATACCCCCGAATCATACCCCTCAAAACGTTACAAGAAGAACCAGGTGTTAAGGTGAAGTGTTTGGTTGGTCTTTGTGCCTTGTAGATGTCCATGAGCCAATGGTGCATGACGTTTGCAATTGTGTTTTCCAATGGGCACTCAATTTGTCCAAAATTATTTGTGTCTTCTTGTGGGAAGAGCAAAGGCTCACATCCCAGGGGTGCTCATAGTGTTCCCATGTGCTCTCCCTTAAAGGTTCCGCCTTCTTTTACAGAATCTAATGGCCATACGAATCACACCCGATTCATGCCCGATTCATACCCGAATCACGCGCCTTCACACAGTCCCCCACCCATCCCACATCCTGGTTGTTTTGGTGGGGCCTGGAGAGGGCCACCGGAGTCTTTGGTGGAAGAGTGCATTTGCCTAGTCTGCCCAGCATCCAACCAGCATCCAACAGATGCTGCTTGCCTACTGCCTCGGCGCAGAGTGGGCCCACTGCTGGAAGTCCAACGAATCCAACAATACAACTTCAAAGCTGCGAATCATCTGCGAATCATACCCTCGAATCATACCACCTATTCAAACTTCCCGGCCCGACTACGGTAAAAAAATACACACCCATATAGTTATATATATATATTATATTATATGGTTTCCATTCAATTGCAATGCCTGCCGCACGGAAGGGGGTGATCTGGATGTGGGAAATGAATTTCCCACATCCAGACCAGGATTCCTCAGCTGCGGTCTTCCAAAATATATTGACTGGTCCATTCGGTGTTATATAAATGCAGGACTGTGTATTTGTCCGCATCTACGGAAATTCACTTGCTTCCCACGAGAGCTTCCCAAGAGTCAATGGTCATGATATGTCATGATCAAGACCCTGAATCTCAGAGACTTCCAATAGGGCCGCAGCACCAAACCCACCTCACGACACTGCAAGCAGACACGTTCAGTTTCATTGGATCTTTAACAAGTTCAGCTCAGCTATATCAAAGAGTTGGACATCCAGTCGAAGACTCTTTAATGCAACATCCATCATCATATGAATTAGTTATGGATATATATATATATATAGATAGATAGAGAGTATCGGTATCATCCAAGGACTCCGGACTCCAGGTCCAGGAAGCGAATCCCTCAAGGCTGACAGCTTGAATAATCTTGAATCCATGCACAAACACTTGCAGCAAGTCTGTTTTGTACAGCCAGTTGTTTTGGTACTTGGTCCTGTCACCGCCCCAACTCCAATGATGAATACTGCTGTGAGGTAAGGTCCTACAAAAAGGGCAAGCCAGGTGGTCTGAGAGCTGTCTTGTTGATTGCTATGACTATGACCATGTTGGAACCCAATGGTTCTATGTCCGCTGCCCACCTTACGGCAAGTCCCTCTTGTTTGGTGACTTCACGCAGTCTTTTTCCCAGGCTGAAGAAGGACGTCATGCAGGATCTGCCGGAGAAGTTGCTGTGGCTGAAGAGGGCGGTGTGGGATGGAAGGACCTCACTGACATGAGTCGAACGCATCGGAACCAGGACCCCACTGTGGCGCTGTAGGGTCCTGGGGAATTCGAACAGTTCCAATGTGTGAAATGAAGAATACACGTAAAACCTTTCCAAGGGCTTACGGCTTACGCCCAACCGCAGGCCAGCAGGCCAACAGAGGGAGCAGCGTGACCCAGTGTTCTGATTGCGTCTGGGTTGGCGCAGTTCTGCGGGTGATGCACGTCATTGTGATCGTGGTCGGCATGCGCGGTCTAGGGTTCACGAGGCAGTGTTTGTATTCTTGGATATTGATTCTGGGTTTGCAGTCTCTGATTTTTGTTTCTAATTTTCTAGTCTCCAACTCTTTTCCCAAGATCACTGATTCTGTTTTTCTGGGCTCTGTCTCCTGGTCTCTTATTCGACCTTTCTCCGACCCTGGTTCTCTGACTTGCCCGCCGCCGGTGGTCGTTCCAAGCAAGCTGGGTGCAACAACACGACACGGTCCAAAGTCGAAATGGAAGGTGCTCTACGGACTATGCGCCACGAGCAAAAAGCCAAAGAACATTCGGGGAATGCTATCAATTGAATGGCTCGCCCGAAAATGCTTACTATGAGCGTGGAAAACAACGGCCCCATACACATGCCAGAAGTCTGATCGGTGTGCCTTTGTGCCTTGGCTTTGGGGCCAGGACGCCTACGGGTAAATAATAACCACATAAAATCTATCTAGTTTCTTTATCAGTCTTTATCAGTATTATCATTCCCATGCCCACTAGGCCACCTGAATTTTTCAATGCTTAAGGCCCCTTTCGACCGGGCTCAGTGCATAACAAGTAAATGCAATCACAATGTTTTCCCTGTAAACCAATTGCCAATGGCCTTTGGGCACCCCAAAATTGTTTCACATTGGATGGAGGGTCCTTTTGGCAACGCCTAGGAGCTGCAAGGCCCAGCGGTGTCCACTCACTGAGCCTTGGTGACATTGAGTGAGATTGCCAAAAAGATTAACCAAATCAATTTTTTTGTTGTTATTTTTTCTTGGGGGAGGCCGCCGCTAGTAGAGGTGAGGTAGGTTGTAGGTAGAAGTAGGTAGCTAGTAGAAGCAAGGGAGTCGCGGACGCAGGACCCCCCCCCGGCCCTAAAGGTGGCGGGGGGGAGCTTCCTTGAAGAAGCGCTCGCACTATTCACTTTCTTGCTAGATTTTTAGGGAAACTAAGTAGCTACTGTACTACTTAGACCAACTGAGTGCACCTCTAAATATTGTCTATAGAATATTTATATGCATGATTATGCATGTAACACATGTATATATTTATATAATTATGCTACCATCCCAAAACATAAGATGTGAGCCTTTCATGACGCCATGGCACTGCTCTAAGGAGATGCAGCAGGAGCTCTACGATGCGGAGATCGAGCGAGCGAAGGTGGGTTCCAAGACGCTCGCCGGACAACTGGATCACTGCACAGCAGTTCCATTCCGCCCTTGACCGGATGTGGGTCAATTGTGTATGAAAGGAAAAGGAAAGGTTCAGTGGAAGCAAAATAGCACACTGAACCTGATAAACTAGAGTTTGTTTTAGAAGACCATTTTGGACGGGAACCCATCAACTTGTTCGCTACAGCTCCACGTTCCTTCTCATCTATTGTCTCTCGATTCTAGATTGATATCAATCAACATCACGAGAAATCGTTCTTTGTGCCAACCCACAAGCTAGTAGAACCTGCTGTCCTGCCCATCTATCAACTGTCTAGAGTACAGAGGAACTAGAGGGAATTGAACAAAGTTCAAAGCAACGTGGCATGGATTGAGAAGGATTGAGAAGGGAACGATGGTGGGGGCCCTACAGACCCTCAAGGAGTGCCCTGCCACCTTTGCATCTTGGATTCCGCTCACAGCCTGGTTTCCATCATTGCCTTCCAGTCCTCCATCTTCCCCAAATCTTCAAGGGTCAAACATCAAAATCCGATGGATGGGTTTGGTATCCAATGGATGGGTATCGGATCCAGGCAACATGGCCAGAGTTTCCTCAGATGGGCTGGGTTGCACGATTTCAGGAAGCTGAAGAAGCGAGAAGCACGTTGGGACGCCCGGTTTTCACCGCTGAAAGCAGTATTTCCCAAAGCCAGTGACACCTCTTCACTTGAGGTCACCTGCCAAGTGCTGGGGATAGTTTCTGGAAGTTTCCGGTTATTGCTGTTCCAAGGGAATCGTTATGATTTGATTTTCTAGCAACAAGAAAGGCGGAGTGAATCTTAATCTGCGGACTCTCATTGTTTGTCTTGGCCTTTTGTGTTGCAGAATCAAACGTGGTGAAAGAAACCTTTTCTGCTCTGTTGCTGCTCAAAGCCAAAGGCATGAATTGCCAATGCTTCCTGGCCCAAGCCGCATGCGTTGAGTGTGGGCACTGCCGCACGAAGCCGGCCTCCCGCGTCCGCGGGCTCTGCCGGTGGGTCGTGATGGGCTCAGCTGCAAGTGCAGCGGCGAAGGGCTCAGCAGAAAGGCAGGCTGGCCAGGTGGCTGAGCACTCTTTAATGGTGTTTCTTGGTATCAGAGAAGCGCTTCGGGTTTAGACCACCCCCGGTCGTCCAGAGAAATGCACCAGTTGGTCCGTCCCATCGGTGCCCAAACCGATGAGCTGTGGCAATCTCTTGTTGGACGGCCAGTCCCTTTGGCAAACTATCGCTCCATTGCCCCTTTCAGTCCTTTTAGATCACAAACGGCGAAAAAAATCCAAAAAGAAAAACCAATCACAGCCGACTGGATCTTGCGTGGACAAACACATGTACCCCGGTAGAAGATCCTAGACCCTTAATTTGCTGATCTTTGGCTTCGCTCGCACAGACCCTGGGTCGACTGGTACTCAAGCCAATGGAAACCACACTTCGTAACTGATTTCATTGCGGCATCACTTCATCGGAAAAAATAATCCAACAGTTGTGAACTTGGTTGTATAGGTTTTTCTTGGATGGTCCTTCGGCTGACGGGCATCCTGACCTGTAGCACAAAAGAAAATGCCACACAATTGCCTACATGTCCTTTGAGAACTCAAAGGGTTGATTATAATGTAGACTCTTGATAATTACCTAGGACCTATCCCCTGATTAACAATTGACTCTGAACAAATCAAGAGGAAATCAAAAGGAGTTCAAGGGAAATCAAAAGGAATTTAAGTAAAAGGAGGGGGGGTATCTAATCAAGATTGAACATTAGGGTCTGGGTGCCACGCTATGAGCCACCTCTCGCCTTTGCTTGTGATGTGACAATCATGTCGCATGGCCATCCGAAGGTTCACCTGGCTGGTTGGACTACCCTACAGATCCCCAAACTGCTGGACCAGATTCATTGGACATTGGATACCTTCGAGTCAGTGGGTCACCTTGCCTGTGCTCCAAGTCTCTCCGTGTTCGCTCCCCAACCCCTTTGAACTTGGGACTCTGAGGCTTCAGCCAGCGCAGGAACCAGCACTTCAAAGACTTCAAACGAGGCTTCAGCTGGCTTCCACGCCCAGCTGGAGCTCCTTCAACGACGAGAGCTTTGAGGCGTCTGCGGTCCAAGCCGGCGAAAGACTGGGAACTTCTGGAAAACGACGACCCTATTGTACAAAACCAACAAGGAAACCCAACATGGATACAGTCGTTTTTTTTGTCCAAACAAGTTCGCTCAATAACAAGGTCCACACGGCTTTTACTTTGTGTAATCAACAAATACGGCCAAATGTGGGTGTCACAAGTCTTTGCAGGTTGTCACACCAAGCCAGCAGCTGTTTTATTGTACGTTGTTGGATTGTATCGTTTTAACAGTTGTTTTTCGAATCAAATGTTGACAAGGTTCAGGTGTCATACGAGTCATATTACGGGTATATGGGTTCTGTACGGTACAGGTGTTTGTATGTTTTAGTCGATATGATATGGTCCATGTATTATACATATGGTCATTTAGCGCATCAAATGCGGCCATATTTGTCCGCTGAGGACGAGTGCATTGCCCGGTCCATGACTTGTTGCAGGGGACTTCATCCAAGTAGTTACAGCATTCGACCGAAGGAACGTATGCAGGCATACGCCTTTCCATCTACAAACAGATACTCATACTGGTTGTACGTGAAGTACTTTGCAGATGATCGTTTGCAGTTCTTGCTCAGTGCCGTCCCTCTCGGCGGACTGCACTGAGACCGAGTATCGACCAAGGGGGCTCGCCCGCTCACCAGGTGCGTCCACCAAGCCCTACGCAGCAGCTGACCTTCCGTGCTGAGCAGGTGCGTGCCTACGACGCAGAAGAGTGGGAAGCACGCTTTGGGCATTTGCACTTCAAGACTGCGTCTTGGCAATTTGAAGTGTTGAAACTTGTTGGGGGAAGGGGAAGGTTTTCGTATCCTTTCGCCATCCGAATCCTGCTTGAATACCTAAAGGGACACCCAAAGGGCACAGGAGATGTTCGTCATGAGGATTCCCTGGCAAAAACCCAAGCCATCGCATAAGTGCATTTTCCATCAGCCACGCAGCTGAGGATTGAATAGGAGAGACCCGGGCCTGCTTGCCTGATATTGGAGCAGCAGTTGAGCCCGACCCTTGCAGTTGAGCCTGGCGGCTAGGTGGCCAAGAAACTTGTTGGCTTAGATATGCTTAGATGGTATCCCCAAGCCAAGTCCCTCATAGCAGAATGCCGCTCGGAATGTAAGGTTGCAGTAACTACAGGGTGTTTTGCATTGACCAAGAGCGGATTGTTGCGGGGTTGCTACTTTCCTATTGTTTCGACCATATTCTTCTTTAGGTGATGTGGAACAGATGAATGTCAGCCATGGCCAAGCCTGTTTTCCGTCCAGCGTCCATGTATTGGCACTGAGAAAAGGCTTCGGCGTTCTGTGCTTCGGCGAGAGTAGAGAAACCATCTCACCGTGCCAATGTCCCTCTCGAAGGATGTGACCAGTGACTGAGTGACACGTGCGATGGCCTCTACTCTGAACGTTGCCCTCGTAGTTGGATTTTTGTGGGAGCTGCGTATCAGCTGGCCCCAAATGGCGGCCATGGCCAACTTGGAGCAGTTGATTGTTATCCATTTATATCCATGCCAATCCGATAATCTGACTCTCCCCTGAATTCTAGAACCCTGGTCATGATTCAGACCTGCTTTGGTTTGGGAATCCACTTGGATTCCCCAGCGCTCTGTGTTGGCCGCCCACCTTTGTTCGGAACTTGGCAGATGTGGCACAGCCGAAAGCCGTGATGGCAGTGTGCAGAGGCTCCGGCCCTCGCCGCTCTCCGATGAGATCAATTGGTCGGAACGGACGCCTGCGGCCGGGACAGGCAGACGCTCAAACACCCACTCACCTGCGGGCCACTGTTGGCCCAGATTCGGGCATCGGCCGAAGGTCAAGTCCACAAGGATGAGAACCAGAATGTGCTGTACACTACCCTTCTCCTTTCCTTTCACCCTCCAATGCATCTTCTGTTTTGGCCGAGTTATTCGAAGCTCGTCATCTATATATAGATTCTCTACTGTACTGTAGATGGTTTGAATAATTGCCGCTGTCCATAGTCCAGCATTTGTGCAGGTGAAGGTGTTTCAGGGCTATCAAATGCTCAAAGAAGACTTTCATTGATTCGCTTTCCCAGTCATTCTGTGCCAGAAGCCTACTTACTACATACTACTTACCCATCTTTTCCCAGCTCATTCCACCGACAAAAAAAGACACACGTGCATTTGTTGAACGTTCCAGGGCGATTCTCTTGACCACAGTTTTCAAGCTTTTACTCCACTGTTCGGCTGGTCATCCTGATCAAATTTGCAACTGAATCACACAATAGTGCCAGAGTAATATCATGCAATCAGGTAAGCAATTATAGAATATTAATATATCCACATCATTGCATCATCAACACTTTTGGCTTGCCACGCCCAGGATGTACAGAGCATACTGTTCAGTTGCGCCCAGCTCGAGCGGTCCTCACGAAGAAAACATGCACCGAACGCGAAAGAGAAAGAGAAGGGGAAGCAAAGTAGCAGCCCTGAGGTCCGGGGTCTTAGTGAGATATGATTCTTAGCACATGTTAGCACCGTATTCTTACATTACTGTACTCCAGCAAGGGCTGTGCATCCAGCAAAGCGGCGTGCGGTGAACGGCCTCGAAGGGTTGGAAGCACGAAGTGAACTGTGGGTTTGAGGTGGCATGAAGTGGGCAGTTCATGTCAAGGAGCATCAAGGAACTCTTCAGAGCGATCCAAGACCTAAGGTAGAACTTAGAACGGTTTCACTCCAAGACGTGTTGAAGCTGTGCGTTCTTCCATGTTCTTCCTTAGACAGCATGATGAAACATGACCATCTACATCATGCCACATCCCGCATAGCAGACATAGACACCGAGAGCGCTAGTAATAACAAGTGCCACGCTACTAGGAACAAGTGCCTTACTAGTAGTAACAAGAAGCTATTAGGAACAGGTGCCACGCTAGTAGTAACAAGTGCCTTACTAGTAGTAACAAGAAGC